ATCGGCGATCCACTTTTGGATCGGCGATCCGTATCGGAAAATGGATCGCCCAACTCTGGTCGCAATCAATTTGAACTGTGACAATTCTAGTTGGATAACAGTTGGTAAACTTTTTTTTTGTGTTCCGTTGCCATTGACGAATATTGTACGTTTTATCAACGAGTTCACAAAAATAGGTACTTCAATATGGCTAATGTTACGCAATAAATGTTATAAATAATGTGAATGTTTGTTTACTCTTTTTCTCTTTGATTAATGTAGGAAAATTGATATTGACCGCACTTGAAAATTTGATGTTCTTTTTTTTCGCAACTGTTATTTGATTGTCGATAACGTTCCATAGCAATTATTACAGTTTTTCTCTGGTTTTTTCAGCAAAAAATGAAATCATTGTTGGCGTTGATGCGTTTGGGCTTTCAATAGCACTTCAGCTGTCAGCCAAAGCAAACCATAAAATCTTGTTCAGTTGATATTTTATTATGATGAAACTAATTGTTTTTGGGTGAGTGAATATTAAAATTAATCAAAAACATTGACGTGAAATGAATGTTTACCAAAAATTTCAGAATTTTTATTTCGTTTTGTCATCATCATTTGATGGCATCACCAATTGACCTTCGCTGCAGTAATTTTGATGTTAGTCAATTGCGAGATATTTCATATCAATGTGGAAAAGAGTTAACATGTTTTTTCCAAAATATTGTGGCTGATAACGAAACGCAATTTGTTTACCCTCCCGATCGGTATCAACTGTCATATAAATGCATCGGCTTTTTTAATTCAACGGTCCATCAACTGCCTATTGATATTTTCCAACATTATCCGAACGCTGAAATTTTGTATGCTGCAAATTTAGGATTGAAAACGTTAAGTCGAGCACTTTTTGAAAACGCAAACAGACTGGTTGATGTTCATTTGGAGGGAAATAATTTGACGGGTCTGTAATTGTTCATTCAAGATTAATTTCGAAGCTTAAATTTTATTTCTGTATCCATTTTATTTTAGGATTAGACGAATTTCTATTTCATGGAGCAGTCAACCTTCGTCGAATCGTTCTTTCCAACAATCAAATAACGACAATGGGCAAAGATACTTTTAAGAAGATGATAGTTAAGTCTTTAAATGCCTTTGACAATCCATATCAAAGAAAATTGGAAGAAATCGACTTGTCAAACAATCAGCTCATGGATTTAGAGTACGAGACGTTTTCTCAGCTCAATTCATTGAAGATTTTATTGCTTGCACACAACAACATTAAGCTTAAATTCGGACTATTTCCAGTTCTTCTTAAGAAGCTTGATTTATCGTATAATCAATTAAGAGATTTCACATTACGTCAATTAATAAATTCACAAATGCTGGAGGAATTGAAACTCAATGGAAACTTCTTTGAAAATGCAAGCATTGAATATATTTTCCCGGAAGCAATTTTTCAACTAATGCACATTTACCGATTCGAACTATCAGATTGTTTCACATGCATGCATTTAGCTGACGTTTTAGCATATTTCAAGCGAGCAAATCGAAACATAATTGTTCAGTTTGACATAGAGAGAATCACGAGTGCAAACATATTCGGAATCTCGTGCATCGACGATAGTGGACGACAGAATTGATAGAGCGATGAGATAAATAATTCATGATTTTTTAAACTGAGAGAGAAAAGAATGATGACAGGAATGCAATTGACTCATAACAACAAAAACGGCAATTAAAACTTTTGCGTTGTTTATGAAACTGCTTTGATATCAATAAATTGATTTTTGGAATTTTTCAATTAATTATGAAGACAGTTTTAATTACAAGTGGAAGAATATGAAGTGAAGTGTACGATAAGAAATTTTATTAATTAATATTTGAGATATTTTCGAAGCAACTTGAGCAAAAGGTTGATAATTGAGTTTTTCTTTCTTCTTAAATATTATCTTAAGAACATTCTTCAAAATAAAGTTCAAAGATAACGAGGATTTTCGATAATGAGCGACACTTTCATGAAATTTGTTCGATAATTCAAAGCAAATCGCAAGCAATGAAAAAAAGAAAATAATAATTGAAGCTTGTTCATATCTACATAAATATTTATGCTGGCAGCTTAATTTGCATCAGTATACTGAACCGGTAGATCAACTAGTCAAACTATCAGACATTGCGGTAATGCGTGATTTGCAATTGCATATGACTAAATGTTGAATGAGTTTTCTCCTTCTCAAACAAATTATCCGAGTGTCGATGATTAATTGTATTCCAGTTGTCAATGTAATAAACATTACTTGACATTTCATTATAAGATGTTCCTTTTTCACAATAAATCAAATTTCCTGACTTTCAGAAGGTTCAACAAGGCTATCAACATTTACTAATCCCAAATAAATCTTATGAACTGAACAAACACCGCCTTCAAGAAGTTTTTAATTTATTTACAATCCGAAACTTAGTCAATTGTAACAATTTGCCCCAGAAGATTTAAAATTCCCATAGCAATTAAATTTTCAACAAATTTCAATATAAACAATTACAGAGCGGAATTTCTTTTATATTTATTTTATTTCACAAACTTTTGAAGCACTTCAATCATAAAACGGAACTAGAGCTAGAATCAGAATTGAAACTTATTGAACTCATAAAATTCAGATCTGTTTCAATAGTTATGATGGTGCCGTGAGAAAAATCATTTCATGACGACAATGAAAAGTTATTTACAAATAAAATTCAAACTCAAATTTAATTGTTTGAAAATAAATAAATCGAGAAGATTCATGAAATCAACAAAATATTAACAAGAATATTTTCACTGAGTCGACAGATTATTTAGTTCGAGTCGAGAACATTTTTAATAATTTCCTCTCTTGAAAGCGTCTGCGTTCATCAAGATCTTAGATCATACTGAAAAGATGTTACGTTAACATTGCATCTTGTGATCAAGATGTTGCTATGACAGTTTCTCTCACATATTTTCCATTTCTACTTTCGTTTCCTTTTTCATTTCAAGTTCAAACGTGAAAATGTTGATGGAAACGCATCCAATTCAATAATCCAAAGCTTACTGTAGCTCCATTAGCAAAAAATCTTCTTAGTGCTATAAGTCAAGAAGCCAAAGAGATTTATATGACAGATTGTTTAGTACAAATTTTGCCTGTAGGTGATTTAAAGCTAAGAGATTATTGAGTGTCTGGTTCTTCACTTATGAAGCGAGATAATCAATATCTTTTCACACTGCACGACATGTAACAACAAATTGCATAAAACTCAACAGTCGGTATGGTATTAAGTCAGAAAAATGACTTGTTTGCTTGCTGTTGAATTCAATCATTCCCAAATGCATAAATCATAAAGATTTTCATGTTGAGCTTGGGGATAATCACATAAATCTTGATTCACAACACTATAATTCGCGAATCCAGATTTAATGACTTTATTATGCGTGTAAAATGTTATCAATTTAATGGTAAATTAGATAATTGAAGTCATGCAGAGGTGTTTAAGTGTGTTTATGTTCACCGCAATGTTTTTAATTAAATGAAATTATCTCGAGGTCGATATCGTTCGTTCAAAGTTTGAAATTCAGAGCTCTTATCAGTCTTACCTTCGTATGTACACTCATAACTAAGTTCACATTCTTCAAATCGCATGCTTAAAAGCTCTTCAGGAATCTTAACGTTATGAATCTGATGTCAAGGTTTCCTATGTATTACATATTAGATTTTGAGTTCCATTTAAGTTGCAAATACTTCAATTTCATAGCATAAATTTAACAACAAATGTTTTCAGCACCTACTTCAACCGTTATTTGATGTTGTTGGCTTTGATGGAGTTTAATTTGAAAGTTATAAGAACAAATTCTTTCAAGAGATTTATTCAAGTAAATTGTTTTGTTTATAATTTTAATTAGATGATGACGTATGCATTGTGATGTGGTTTCTATTTAACAATTGACGAATTGTGCATATGACATTTTATATGAGATGAAAAAAATGAATTTACTATGAGATGTTCTGTGAAATCGGAAACGAATGAATGAATGAACATGAAGCGTGGTTATCGAAAAGCTTTTCATTCAAGAAATAGAGAAAACATTCGTAGTCATGCTTTGAAAGTGAAACAGAATTTTCTGCGCTTGTGCTTTCGGAATCCGATGAAGTGTTCGGATGCAGAAGTATGGAAAAGAAATATTTGTGAAAATGAAATTTTTAATTTGACTTTTTCTTGTTCACTGTCTTGGCCGAAACAATCTTTGTCAGTTTCCGCGCGCTCTTTCAACAGAACGGATGGAATTGAAAAGTCAAGAAAAGTGTTTAAAGAAAGAAAAATAAATTTTTGATTATTGAAAGTTGAAGGAAATTTGTAATTTTCCAGAAATCCTTAAGCCCAATAAAAAAAGGAAATCTAATAAATTATTTTTAAAATTTGAATCTCATTTAAACTAATTTTTTTAATATAAATTTTGATTTGCCAGTTTATTTCTGCAATCACTGCAATTATGAAAATTTAAAAAAAAATGTCAAACGAACTGTTGAGCGACAACTGAAGTGATCAAAAAGTCATTGAAAAGGAAAATTTCAAATTGAACAATTTTTAAGTCAATTTATTCCAATGTGAAACTTATATCCATAGGAAAATGACATAAAAAAAGGAAAATTCCTTCATGAAAAATCCAATAAGAAAAAAATGTCAAAAACTTAGAAGGAAATTTGTCTGATCGCTCAAATAGTTTCTAACTGATGTGCTTTGGTTTTGTGGTTGAAAGAAAATGGAAAATTAAGTTAAAAAGGATTTTTCATATCTTCGAAGTTACTTTTTATTTTCTTTACTCGAGTGGTTGTTGCAAGAATTTTAATAAAGATTAGATGAATAAAAGAAAAAGAAATCCACGACCCTAAAAAAAATTAAAGACAAAAATTATTTATTGGACTCATACTGATGATGGGTTAGCAATGATAATTTAAGTAGAAATATAAGATAAATGCCGGCAAATAAATCATTGGATTTAACAAGAATAATAAACTGTCATGCGAATAAATATAAACAATTGAGATCATAAAAGTGGTGATCTAGAAAATAATTTAATTAAGTTGAATAATCGATTAAACGCAAACATTTTTATTTGCGTAAAACACGCAAATTAAGTACAGTGAAGGAGAAGGAAAGTCATTTAATTTTTATCACGTCTAGCGAAGAACAGAAAGCTAGAGATTAGAAACGTGACGATGAAAGAAAGCCGTGAATAAATATTTAGTTGAAGAGGTTCAACAAAACAAGATATAGGAATATTCGTGGGAATAGAAATTTAATGTTATTTGTGCTTTAAAACGAATGTTTACGCTGTGATAAGTGCTTATTAATATAGAATTTATGACTCAGCATTTCATGTAAGTCATGAGTACAATGGCAAACTAAACAGTTTCGGATATCAGCTTACAGGAAGCATAAAGAACCGAAACAAACTCTGGTAAGATTGAGGATTACGAACTCATTTCCACTTTTCTTTCCCTTTAACTTATTGTTCCTTCCGAGAATGATATTGAATGTCGATATTAAATGAAGCGAACTGAAGCTTCTCCTATTAAATTTATAAGTTTACTATCTACATTACTTGCTATAAAAATGTAGAAGCAAACAAATGAAGAGCTTTCTCTCATTGCTTGGGGACATCATTAACAAAGATGATGAAACCGATAACCTAATTGTAAAAGCAGCATCGCTTCCTTTAAGTTATTATCAATTAAGACGACATTATCAACATAATTATTTGCTCAATTTACTTATCACAGTTATCCTCATATGATTACAATTTGATTTGTTTGCTGAAATTTGATTTTCATTTATAATCCCATGTCTTTCACACATCTGCCGCCGCCATCTCATCATCATTGTCGTTTTTTTTCGATGAACTTTGATAACTCAAGAATAACGAGAAAGAAAAAGTTTCCACAAAAATAGAAAAAGATTCGCACTTAAATTCCTTTTTGAAACCTAGGGAAATATTCTTGTTTATTGCTTAAAGGCGTGATATGGTTTATTTCTGAGCATCTTTGAATAAAATTGCAGACATCAGCAGTATTATTGTTGGATCAATTCGAGGTTTCTCAATGTATTGTTGTCATCAACAATAACTGTCATGTGTGCTTGTGATTCTTGAACAACTACTCGTCTGAGAAAAGTTAAAGTTTTTATTCAGATTGCTTTGAGATTTAACAATTCGTCTACATAAAGTGAAACTCATAATCACCCTGAATTATAGGATAGCTTCGAGTTGAAGGTGAAAGGAATAAAATAGTTTTAAACTCATTATACTTTAACACGGAATACTTATGAGAGCGAATTTTGTTATAAAATAATTTTCTAAACTTTGCTTTATCATTTCCAAAGAAAAACTTTAATTCAATTTATATTAAGTGTATTAAATTATTAGTTTGATGCAATTTTTATTTTTATTTTTCGGATGTCCAAAACTTTGCAAAAAGAATGTCTGAAATTAAAACTTTTCTGCTCGATTGAAGCTAATTGAGAAAGAAATTTGTTAAGTAAAGTACTTCTTGTTATAAGTAGATATCTACTCTTGTTTCAGCTAGACAAAGTTTTCTTAAATTTGAGAAACCAAAACCACAAAGTCTGGATCTGTAATGTTTGCAAAACTAAAAAATACAATGCAACTTTTTTGTTCACCCGCCCGTCAACAAATCACACATGAAGCGTAAAGAAATCTCAAGAAAAACTTAAAATGTCTCTGACATCATGTTTGCCTTGACACAGGAAAGGATAAACTTAATTTAAATGTTGAGAATGTGAACTTTTCTTGCTTCCGATGACTTAATAAAAATTTTAAGATAAGATTTTTTCATTCCTTTTATTGAACGACATGATCATGTTGTGAGTTGGAGATCAACTTAAATTGAACATTTATAGCAATATTGCGACGGTTCGAATCATGAAGAGAATTTCAAGTTCAATTGATTATTGTTAAGAGTTCGGTGAATGATTAAAAATAAAATTCAATAAATTATTGCAGTCTTGTGTAGAGTTAAACATTATTGCTTTGACTATGACTCTGTTAGAATTTTCAATTTCTCTTAAAAATGTTTATTGGCAAACAAAATTTGTTCCATTAGATATGTTTAAACGAATTGAAAATAAGATTAACGATAAGCATTTCCACATTAAGTATGTACATTAATAAATCAGTGAAGCAAAAATATAATTGTAGCTTCTAGTTCTGACTTAGTCAGATTTATTCCCAACATGCGAAGTGGATTTATGGCAGCTATATGGTGCATCGAGATTATATACTTTGATAAATGCTTTTTCCAGTTGTTATAGAAATTTTGCAGTTCGTTTTCTTGCATTTAAATTAATTTTCAAACACTCATCGACTTATCTACTAGTTTCCTATATAAATTCATTAGAAAGCACCAATTATTACATCTTCAAATATAATTTAATGGATTGTTAGATTCCTAATTGAATTTCAACAAGAATCTTCCTAGCCATTAAATTACATTTTAATTGTTTTGTCGGATTTTCTTATTAATTAGGAAAAGGAAAATTCTTTATCCCTGTAGCATGAACAAGATAGCAATCCACATGCAGTTACATAAAGAAAACATGTTATCCAGTCCCGAGACATAACATAATAAACACCCGCATTTCTAACATTAAAAATATTTTTATTTTCTTATCATATGCTTGTTTACTCCAAGATGTAAAAACTTAAATTGAATTGTTAAGAATAAAAACATTTTCTAAATTAAATATTGGCTTAAACGTCTATAAAATCTTGTTTTGTTCCTGTGTTTTCTTAACAAATCTTTTATGTTTTCAATTCGACAATGATCTGAGAACGATTTCACCACAAATGGTTTGTTGCTGGTGTGCTTGTTCTAAATGAACTCATGCAATAAATCCTAATTAACGCCATAAAAGCGGAGCCAAAACTTTCACATAGTTAGTCGTTTGTTTGCTTAAGTTGAAATTTATACTTTACTATTGTTCATTGTGATATTCTAAGAACCCTCGAGAAAGGAACACAAATTGAAAGTTTTATTTCAAAAGGATTTTCTTCTCTGTTTCACTTTGGGAAAATAAGAATCCACTTTTCGTTTTTCCACCTAAATAAAATGCAAATTTCTACTTGACATCAAAGTGAATGAATGCATTGTGGTTGCAAAAGTTTTCGTTCTCTCATTGACAAAACAAAACGATTCCCCTGATTTTTTTCTGTTGTTTAAAACATTTTTAAAACGCCAACCAGCGAAACGTTGTAGCTGCACAATTGCACATTTGTTTAAGTTGTTTAATGAAAATTAAATTAAATTCTTTACAATTAATTTGGTTTTAACTTTCTTCAGTGGTAGTCAAGCAATTTACGTTCAAAGAGAAAACTTTTTTATTTAAAAAGGAAAATAGTAATGTATTGTTCTAATGCTGCATTCCACCCTCGCATAAGGGTTCAAAAAAACAATTTATTTATATGGAATGTTTATGTTAGAAGAATTATCGTTGGCAATTAGCGTTACATTGAAAAAGAATCTTCAGTTTTCAATTACAGAACACTATCAAAGCAATACCATAAAACACTTTAAGACAAACTTCACATGTCGTCAGAATTTTATAGATAAGGAGAAGGGAAAGTGGTAGTAAAAGTTTTTCGTCTCAAAATAACAATTTCATGTAAATTGTTATAGCTTTAGTACACATGATGTCTTGATGACTTTACATTCATTTCATCTCATCCGTGGAAATTTGATGCCACTTTACAAAGTACCTGAGATGCGCTCAGAATATTTTTCATTATTATCTCAAATATAAAATTGAAGTTGTTGAAATCATGATGTACAAGCGAAGACATCTTTCATGTGTTGATAAAAGTCATAAACTCGATAGTTTTAATATTTCTGCCAAGCATTTCTTCTTCTATTTAAACACTTCAACTACTCTTGTTTTTCCTCTTAGACTTTGAAACCTTTATATGAAATTTATGTTAATATTTGGCGACCTTGTTTACAAACGCAGCTAACTGCTCGTCTTCTCTATTTTCAAAAGAAAAGAAAAAAAAACCTTTTGAATTAAATATTTCATGTTCTTGACATAAAAGTTCATTCCGCATAGCTTTTGCTTTTTGTTCTGCATGCTCTGTTATCCCATTACCCAACATTCAACAAGCAGAGGATGCCAATTTAAAAAGAATCTAAAGGCGATTGAAAAAAGGCAGAAATTTCAAAAGCCTCGCTAGGGATTCAAATGGCGAAAAATTTTTCATGACGGGAATTGGAATTGGAAAAGTTCATGAAATATTTCCCACTCTTCTTTCTTTCTTGTTTTTTTCTGCGTTTCAAATTCTCAAAGAATACTTTCACTGGTCCATGTGTTTTTGATTTCTTTCTTTTTGTTTCAAAAGCTAAAAATACTCAGTTAACAATGTTCAAATCAGACCTACCGTAGTACAATGTTTACATTGTCAAAGAAAGCGAATATTTATTCGAAAGAAAATTCTAGACGCGTGGTATGCATCAAGAACTGAAAACAAATGACAACCAGCAAATGTCAGTTAATTAAACACTTCAAAATTTGGCGGTACACCGCGTTGAATTTTTTTTTGTAAGCGACCGCTGACTGTTGATGATGAAAAAAATTAACAAGAAAATATGCGTTTTATTTACGACAGTCGTCTTCAAGTTCGTTCAAGTGAATTCTCTTGTAAGAGACGAAAAATGATTTAATGTCTCGTTTAATTATCCTCAGCGTACTTTCAAACAAGAGGACAGTGCTTGGAGATGCAATAAATGACACTGTTGTAAATTTTTTTATAGCAAGTTTGTCACATCAATTTAAATATTTTGCATTCTTCCTCAAATGTGACGCTTTCTTAACTTTATTTGACATTGATTTACGGTCATCAATTTAAAAAATGCACCGATTTGTAATTGACTCATTAGTTGGAAAAGAATAATCAAGACAAACTGCATGTATGTGAACACAATTTAATTAACCAACTTTCTTGTCTTTCAATGCCTTTTTAGGGAAAAACTTGAAGACGATTTCAACAATTCGTATGTAAATGGAGACGATATTATGTATTCCTTCTTACTCTCAAGCATTCCACGTAAATTTAACGTCAATGAACGTACATTTCAAAAAAATGAAGCTCTCACGAAAGACCAAAATGTTAAAGTTTATGAAGATGAGTTTCAACGATTCGAAGACATGAATTTTATTTCGATTCCAACACTTCACGCTACAACTTCCACGACATCATCTAGTGACAGTGTTTCATTATCGACAGAACATTTGCGTGAAATGTTAAGCCGGGATATTGGATATAATGCGACGTTTGGAATACCGAAGGTAAAATGAATCATTTTAATGTCTTGAAATATTCTAAGAATTTGATTTATTTTGAAAGTTAACACACAATAGTATTGCTAAAGCATTAAGAAATGTAACACGGCGCATACCAGTGGAGGAAGAAATAAATCAATTTTATTTTTACGAGGTAAGCGATCAAATATTAAATGATTGGGTTAAGAAGTCAAGATGTCTTTCTTTTATGTCTCTCGAATCAGGAAGTTAATGATTCAACTCGAGTTGATATTAGATTTCTCCATAAAGATGATATGAAATGAAAATCTGGAATAAATTGAGATTAGATTAAAAGAATAGAAACGAATCGCATGAAATTAATTGCTTTATGTGTTTGCTTTTTTTCTTTATCTTGAACGTGTTGAACGTATAAATTCAATTATTGTTTATCAATGACTTATATCACCTTAATTCCACACGTGAGTTTCTTCCGTAACTTGATTCTTATTTATGGGAAAACTTAATACTAAATTCTTTTAATATACGAGAAAATTGAAGGAAAAAAAGCTTGAAGATTTAATAACAAAACGAGCAATGTATTTAAACTTTGGTAAACAGAACGAGCAACCTACAATCAAACACTCGTTAGGGATGTTAACAAATGAGAAACAAAGTCCGAGTTAAATAAAATAGTTTCAATTTACCGATTGTTGAGAAAAAAAGAGAAGAAACAACATTTATGTTCAACAAGGGACGAAGAATCTCTACCGCTCCGAAAACAGAGCTTACTGTGCATATAATTGGCGATAAACTTAACTTTCTCTTTCAAAACTCTTCGAAATAACATTTCTAGTAATTGTTGAACACAATGTCTTTCTTTGGGATGAAATTACAATCTACTTGATTGATTAAATGAAAATATTTAATTAATCAATTTTTGATTGCTTTGAGATTAGGTAGAAAAAGTCAAAGATTTTCATTTTATTCCTAAAAAAGTTTAATCGAAAGAAAAAGTAAATTGAGATTGTCTGGAAAGACAATTCATTAAAGCTGAGTAGAATTTAAGCAAATAAGTTAAAGAAGATTTGCAAGTGATCTAGAAAACTGGTTTTAGAAAAGAAGGATTTGTTTAAGAACAACTTAATAACGTGTAGGAGTAATGAAAATAAAAATATAAAAAAAATAAATAAAAATATAAAAAAGTGCGCAGTCGGTAGGATTCGAACCTACGCTCCCAGAGGGAATCTGATTTCTAGTCAGACGCCTTAACCGCTCGGCCACGACTGCTTTTTCGAAGCATGAATCTTCGTTTGCTAAATGTGGTATATTAACATTCCATGGTGTTTCATTCCATTTCCATTTTATTCCATGTTGCGTAATATTTTGTTAAGAAGAATTCAATATCTAAACATAAACATTTGTAAAATGAATTAAATCTACTTTTAATATATTATGCAAGAAACTTCCATTAAATTCTTCTTTTTCCTGATTTATATTTTTGTCGAGATTAATTTAGTTTTTCTTAATGCGCTGTATCAGCTTGACGCGAATGAAAAAATTACGACTCAGAAGTAAAAAATACTTTTTTTTGATAAAAATAACTTTTTTAATTAACCAAGTTTAACGAATATACTTTAGGTATTATCTTTTGTTTCCTTTTTTGTTCCCATTATAGGACTAAAAAAAGCTAGGGAGCTTTCATAACCTTGATATTATAATTGTTAATAAATTGTGTAACTGAAATACATTTAATTAAGAGAAAAAACCTTTTTTATAAGATATTTCTTTCAACAACATTTTCTTCGTGGAAATTAATGACCGTTTGTCGACATAGCGCTTTCCTTACAACTTTAGCATTTTAAATAAATTTTCTTATACATTGGTTTGAGTTGTTCTTTTATTCGTTTCAAAAATACGTACAACCAAATAATCTGCGGTTAAGAAAATAATAATTTGAAAAGTATTTATTTAAATATTGAAAATTCCACGGATTAAGCCTGTGAAATAATGCATAAAAAAGATATTTCAAGCTTTGATTGACCTCAAATTTCAATTAATTTAAGGCCTATAAAATTCTTCTTAAACCATGAAAAACATTAAATTTCATTAAACCACCAGACCCTTACTAACCATAAATTTCACCTTCCCGTTTCCATTATTCATCAAACGATTTCATCACATGAACAAGAATGTTGAATGAATTATATTTTTTCTCGATCTCAACTGTGAAGTGTCAGATGTTCGCTGATTTGCCTACGAACAAAAAATATGATGAATGACGTGACTATGAAGACTATAAACAGTGAATTTCCATCTTATTTCAATTCAGAACATTAAACTCTATTGAGATCGTTAAGTGATAAACAAGATGTTTCTCATGAAGAAAAAGTAAGAGATTTATGATCGAAATAATTATTCACATCATGTGTGTGGCGTCGAAAACTTTTGCTTCGTTATTGTTCATGAAATATTCTCAAATGATTTATTTCGCAACGACAAAAAATCTGTCCATTAGTCACCGTTACCTGAGGTAATATCCAGCCTATTTTGAGTATCATGTCACGTAAAGTTATCCTAAAGAAACATAAAATAATCTGTTCCAAGTGAGTTCAAAGGTTTACAGCTAAATATCAACGTTTACTTTTGATCTTTTTTATTTATTTTGCAAGAAACAACATACTCTCGCCAGATTTGTTTGAAGTTTGAGCATTTAATTATTATTTGACTTTAAAATTGGGCGTGTGTTGAAAAGGCGGCGACATGTTTGTTATTCAATAACCACAAAATTGTTGTTGAAAGTTATATCTTGGTATCATATCATCGATAAACAATAACATCGAAAATTTTAAAGTATCGAAAAAATCTTTTCTTTGCTCATTGAGCAACGAAGATCAAAGAAACAATTTTCTTAAGAAACTCCCCAAATTAAATAAATTGTTATGATTCAAACCTTTGTTGGATAAAGTTCAGGAATCTTAAATATTAAAACTTAAAACAAAGTTTTTAAAAGTGACTTACTGGTTTTGACAAACAAAATTATTTGTAACTTCAGTTGAAGTGACGGATCGATATAAGATTTTATTTCCCCTGAACCATTTATTTAACATTATGCCACTTCAACATTTATTTAGTAATGACATTTACTGTTCATTTGATTGAAATGTTTACCTCTAAACTTTTGCGAATAAGAAGAAAGCATGTTAATTAACCTTATGCCAGAAAAGTTTCAGAGAAAACTCAAACTGATGGAAAATTTGAGTTACTCAAAAACATTTTGATGGTTCAGACTCTTAGTGTAAGTCATAGCTCATAATATTTTTTCGTCCCCTTTGAATTTGAAAAATAATTAAGTTACCTTGAGCTGTAATTAATTTTCAAAGAATGCTCTGAATTTAACTTAAGGCTATTAATTGCTTTAGTAAAAATTCCTAAGTGAAGAAAAAACGTTTTATCTTAACGAAGACACGGAAACAAATGATTAAAATGTTGAAAATTTTCTTATATTTTATCAGACCGAACAGTTCACGGTGTTATGGATACTTTTTGCAACGATAGTCCTTGGAAACACGGCAGTTCTTGTTACACTATTCATTAATAAAAGCCGAAAATCAAGAATGAATTTCTTCATCAAACATTTAGCTCTCGCTGGTAAGTAGAAGCAACATTAATTTATCTTAAGTTAATTAAACTAATGTAGGATAAAGTGAAAATAAATTTAACAAAACATCACGTTCGGAAAGTTCATCATGAAAGTGACATGAAACATTCAAAGTTATTTAGTCAATTTCCGAAATTTCTCTTCCTTCTTCAACAGGTTCAATTATTTAAACTCATATCCATGAATATTTGATAAATTTTCATTATGATAAAATTATTTATTCGAAAGAATGAGGAAAATGTAAGCAAATTTATTTTTATTCTGGAGGGAACAATTTCTGTGAAAACTTAATCTAATTTTTTTGTTAAAGCTTTACGCAAGCTTTGAGAATAATTTTAACAGGAAATGTTTCAAAGTTGTCTATCTTCATTCAGAAGTTTATTAAATGTAATAGAATTGTACACAGAACTTGATCTCTATGGCAAACAATCGCGGTAAAGAAACAAACAATTCTAAATACTTTTCTATTTACATCAGAACGATGTTTGTTGTGGCTTTGACTCTTTAATTTCAACACGTGCTCTTTATTTAGAAAATAAGTAAACAGCTTGTTTAATTTTATCTACTTATGCCTAAATAAGTGATGAAATTAGAATTCACTGAACACAGATATTATGAATTTTGGTTTCTAAATGTAAATTTATTTGTCAAGAAATCACCATAAGAGGATTAAGAGGAAATGGAATATTTTTTAGAAAGAAAACTCTTCTTTTTAAATTGTAAACAGCATGAGAAATAAGAATTCGTTGAGACGGAATTCTGAATTAATTCATACATTTAAACTGAAAAGATTGAGTAATGAGAAATTTGATTTTTGATGAAATAAGTACTATGGCGATGAAAAGAGTCTGCTCTGTTTATTTTCATTTCAAAATATTGAACGCATGAAGCAAATTGATACAAATACTTATTTCCCAATGCTTAATTCCCAATCATCCATTAGAAGATTTCAACTTGATTAATTTTGACAAGGATTGAATTAACTTTCGTTGAGATCTAATCCCGATTAAGCAAATTTCTTTTCACATTTCGTTATCACCATTCGAGATTCTCTTCAATTTAGGTTTGCAAAGACGCAAACAATTTCTTACAAATCAGATTGAAAACATCTTTGACCTAGAAGAAAGAAAGTAGAAGGAAATATAAAGAAACTTATTTCATGTCTTAAGCATAAAATGATGCTGTAATAATGTGGAGAGAGTAACTTATCAGATATCCTTATGTTGCTAACGTTATAAACAAAAGCTGTTATTGTCGATTTTGCTGACATACTTCAAATATGTCACACATGGCAGCGGGAAAGACCAAAAGTACTAACAACGAAAGTGAAATTACGTCCATTCATAAGCAAACGTAACATTTTCATGTCATAAAATTTATTCTCACATTTCAGATTTAAGTGTCGGACTATTCAATGTTCTAACTGATATCGTGTGGCGAATCACAGTTACGTGGGAAGCTGGAAATATTGCATGCAAATTCATCAAGTATATACAATGTTTAACAACATATGCTTCAACTTATGTTCTTGTTGCTCTCAGCATCGATCGTTACGACGCAATAACACATCCAATGAATTTTTCGGGATCATGGAAACGTGCAAAAATCTTGGTGATTTCCGCATGGGTATTGAGTGCCCTATTTTCAACACCACAGTTTTTCCTTTACGAAGAAACACTTATTCAAGGTAACAGAGCAAGGAAATTGCTTTTAATTCTCTATTTAACTTTTATATAACACTGTATATAACTTAATTTTGCGAGCAAGACCGTACCCAGTGTTGGATCGAGCTCGGTGAACAATGGCGCTGGCAGATTTATATGTCACTTGTTACCATCGTTCTCTTTATCATACCAGCTATAATCATTTCATTCTGCTATGCGATTATTGTGAAGACAATTTGGGAGAAGGGAACGTATTTAGGATCAACAGAAATGGGACGAAAAGGTGCTCGAAATGGCAATGCAGCAGATGACGATGATAGTGGAAGTCGACGTGCAAGTTCTCGAGGAATAATTCCGCGTGCCAAAATCAAGACTGTAAAAATGACATTTGTTATAGTTATTGTGTTTATTGCTTGTTGGTCTCCTTACTTCGTCTTCGATCTACTTCAAGTCTTTGAACAAATTCCAAAATCACAAACGAATATCGCTATTGCAACGTTCATTCAAAGTCTTGCGCCACTAAACTCAGCAGCAAACCCTTTGATTTATTGCATGTTTTCGACACAGGTGTGGAAAACGTTAAGGTGAGGTCAACCTCACTTTAAAATAAATAATTAGAGGTTTTTTAACCCTGAGTGTATTTAATTAATTGTCTATTCACAGACGTTCGGCTGTTTTTCAGTGGTTTTCTGATCCACATTGTTGTAAAAGGCGAGAAAGTCAACAAAATCAATTTGGAAACGGGCGTTTGAGAGGAGGCGTAAGAAATCAACATCAAAGTTACGATTCCATGAAAACATTCACAACAACATCAACTGTCACATCAAGACGCTCAACTTGCCTTCGCCCTAACCGCGTCGTAATCATTGAACATCAGAAAACTAGATTCGCTACACCAGAGGAAGTAAGTTATGTTTCTCGTAAAATATTTAATCGATGATGTCTCTCGTCTATCCCCCTCCTTAGAAAGCTTTTGTAATGTCAAAAATTCAATTTTTCTTCTTTCTTTATTCTTCTCCCACAGAATGAAAGATGATGACCCGTAAACAAGCATTTTGAATTACGCTAAACTTCTAAGAGAACAGTTCAATGAACTGAATAACATTGACAGAATTCTTCCTCAGCTTATTCAGTGGGGTTGACATAGATTTTTTACTATTTCATTCGGTTTTGTTATCATGAGAAGAAATGTCATAAAATTTATAAATCTTCGACATGTTCGTGGTGTGACGCTTAACTTTCCAAAGAGAATCATGAAAAATTTTTCACATGGGAAAAGAATTTATTTACATAGTTGAAATATTCATAAGTACACTCAATCAGATATTTTTCTGATTGATCTTGTAATAAGAAGTAAAATTTGGGTCTGAAAAGGAAAAAGATACGGAAAACAGCTCAATTTATAATAGACTGAAGAATGCTGGCCTAAATATTATGTAATCTCACCTTCCAAATATCCATGAGAAAAAAAATCTTTAGATGTAACGAAGAATATTGTACAGGGACGTAAGGAATAAAAAAAATATCTTTCTAAATTTTAATAACAGTTGAAATAAATATGTACTTGAAAACTTGAAAGTCGTATATTGAATTCAAGGCTCGGAATTGGAAAAGTTTTAATCAGGGACTTGACATAACTTCACTTGACTTGCTGACTTGCAACTTTTTTCGACTACTTGACTACTTGAATATGAAAAGCAAACAATTCAAGGCCCTGGTTTTAACTCGTAAAAGCTTTTTTAAAATGAGTTCAATTTTTCATTCAATAAATCATAAACTCTGAATTTTCTTTCTTTCCAAGTGCTTGAAAATTCAACCAGTCTGTCGAATTTCGAGCCATGAATTAAATATGATTAATAAAATGTCTAAGTGTTTCATGGGAAATTTATTGTGATATTTTAAATTGACAAATAGTAAGTTACCTTCTCTTTTTCATACTTTTTGATTGAGAAACTTTTTAAAACAATTGTTTTGCTACATAAAACAAGATTAATTGACATAATATAATAAAATAATATAAAATTAAATAATAAGTGACATTTCTATTGGTTATTGCACGACCTATGGAAGTAAAACATGTTGTAACTCATATAAAAAATTGTTGTGCTGTTTTGATGTCAAGTTCAGAGAACGGAAAGAATTTATTAAAAGAGACAGGAATCAATAGACGAATGAAATATGAAGAGTTGTTTAAGTAGCAAGATAAATAAGAGCATAACTTTTTATGTTTCAACTAAACAAGATAAAGTTAATTAAATTTCACAAAGCTTGAAAAGAAAGTTCAGTTTGCGAGACATTGTTTGAAATAACAAAATGTGTCAGATATCTGAAAGAATTAACATGAAATATTATTTAGACGTTTATTTTTCAAGGGATGAAAAATGTTTATGAAAAATTCATATTACAATCGATAATAAATGTTATTTTTGCAAAGCAAATATTTATTCATTTTAACTGGAAAATTTTGTTTGAAAATCAACAGAGGATCAACAGTGGAGGTGTACAAAATATGTGTTATTGAAAATGAAAAGCTACAACAGAGAATTGAAAATAAATGGAAAACTATTCAGAAAAGTTGAATATGTTTAATGTCAGTTGAAAAACTCTTTATTTATGACTTTTATGGAATGTTTGATATCTCCTTTTTTTGTAAACAATTTGCAATCGTAAAGTTCGTAAATATTTTTCAGGATGCAAATAAAAAATGAAGTGAAGTGCGTTTCGTACGTTCGCTTTATGCTCTGATTTTGATTCTCAACATCACAATTCATTAAACATTGAACAGCTTTTGTTGCCATAATTTTGTAAGATGAAGAAGATGTGAAATTTATTATTGTTATTCAATGAATCATTGTAATAGATTTTGAAAGAAAACCCATTAAAAGCGAGACAATAATAGCCACAACGATTTGAAACCTCAGCGATAGCTTTACGATTACCTTAATCTGAGTTGAACTAGCTTACAGGAAAAAGCTTTTACTTTCCTGTTTCCTATTCCATCTTTAATATATAATTCTAACTTCTCTCTATGTCGTTCATTCAATTTGTATTTCGAAGAAATATACAAGATGGAAATATACGATCAAGGAAAATCTTTTATTTAATTTAAATTCTACTTTCTGCCTATCATTGTGAAGACAAGTAGATTGAAAATTTCTTTTCTCATCAATGAATGATTGAAATCATGTTTTGGATTTGATATTGAAGAAACCTTTAGGTGTTTGAATAAGAAAGCAAGCACATGTTTAATGTAATGAAATAATAGAGACTGTGATTGTAAATATTCAATTTGAAGAATTCCATCCTTATTGAAGCTTTTTAAGGAAACAAAATATTTGTTCAGCAAAGCTTTTCTTCACTACAAAGTAATGAAATTTTACTCATTGAAAATTCAGTTTTAATATTAAAATAAGTTTTTTCTATTCAAGTAGCTTATTTTTGTCTTAGCGACGAAATGAATGATATGCTCGTGAAGTTTTTAATTTTTGTCATTTTATTTCCATTTTTAAAGTATTCTTCAGTTTAATGACCATCTTGTCTTATTTTGAATCTGATTTCTTATTTTTCAATTGTCAATCATAAGTGCTGTTGAGAATGTCCTTGACTACAAAGTTATATAATGTTGATGATGATGATGATAAAATTGTATAAATTAAACATTAAATCTCTTTAAAAAATGCTTCTCGAGATGGTTTTATATTTACAATTCATTTTATTTACTGATTTCAACCTAAATAAATGGTTGTTTCTTTTGGCTTATCAGCAGTGATGACAAAGCATTTAGAAGTATCTCATTTTGAGTGAGACTATCGTTTTAGTTTAAAAGCAGAGATCACTGAAGATAGTAAACATCAAATATAAAATATTTAAAAATAATTTTATCAGTTAGTTTGTTTAATAGTGTCACGAGTCAACTTTGTTGTCATCGTTGATTGTCGCCAATATTGACAGTTCATCAGAATTCAAAAATCACATCGAAGAATCTTAATAGAATTAACATTGCAAATGACGACCTTCAAAAAAGTGACACATGCGGAAAACATTGAAATTTTACGCGAAAAAAAACGAAAAGCAGAAAAGAAAAAATTCTCATTCAGCAAATAAAATAAATTTATGGGAAACATGATAAAGCGACATTTATTCAAATCTGCTCTTGTTCCCAAATTAACCAACCAAAGTCGTAAAATAATTGTGGATGAGAATAAAGCTTCTTCTTTTATTACTTCGCACAAACTCTGAAATTATTTGAAAGCTTTTTTGAATTTCATTTTATCTAAAAAGAAAAGAAAAATGCGAAAGATTTAAATCATAAATGAAAAAATTTCTTATCAACTCAACTTAGAATTGCTTTCTGAAACCTTTTTTTTCTTTCGTATTTTTATGAGACTCAATGCTTCACAATTTACAAAGATATTATCGTTTTCATACGGATTTTCGGGTTAGATGAAACCTACAAAAGGGATAAAACTTGACACGTTGGGAGAATAAAAGATCATAAATTTTCATTCCCTTTTCGCAACTTTACTTATTCATTTGTCAGAATCTTTTTATTGTTTTCTGTTGAATCCAAACTTTATTTTCTTGTTTTTTGTGCGCCCACGAATTGAGATGCTAGAAACACTCACATAAAGTGATTGAGGTCCTGGTAATGTCTTCCAAATGGAAATTAATGACGCGATTGGAAATTTATGATTAATAAGGGATCATTGCCTTTTTTACAGAGTTCAAGATGATTAAGTTCTATTTTTGTTTTTATAAGTTGAATTGAATATTCTTCGGTGACTTTAAACAAAATTTATTGAAGTATCCTCTCAGCCAACTTGAGTTGGGTTTAAAATTTAAAAATGATTTGAATATCTTGAGAAAATTTCTTATCAGGAAGAACGTTAACATTGTGGATCTAAATGTTTGTGATTTGAATATTGATTTCAATTTCTTTCAGGTCCCGAGACAAAAGAAAATCAATTTTTCTCACCGGTCTATTGACTGACATTCACCATTTGGTTGAACATAGTAGAAAGTTTTTCTACTTTAAAGCATGAATTCCGACAAAGATTTTAATGTCACTGAGATAAATAAATCACTGAAACGATTCGGATTAGCGGATTATTCAGTATTTGTATTCATGCTGATGATGTGCTCCGTTGTGGGAATTTACTTCGGATACAAAGATCATAAAAAACATCATCAAAACAAATTGTTATCCAGGCGAGGTTCCGTTGAATTGGACTATTTAGTAGGGGGTAGAAATATGCAAGTTTTTCCCGTGGCCATGTCTTTAGTCGCATCAGGATTATCAGGGATTACTTTATTAGGTAAGCAAAAGCAGAACATTTTCGATATCATTCCTAACGAAATTTGTGATGTTTCTTCTGGTAGATTAATTTTAATAATGCAAGTTGGTTCCAACATTGAATATTTATGAAGATTGGATGAAGCCTCAAGGCTTAATAATAAACTGAATTTCTGGTTCCATTTCTTGTCGTCCACATTCAATATCAATAATTGTGAAATTATCATTCAAAGAGTTTTTCCTCTTCTTTCCATTTACATTGATTAAAATTGATTTTCCATTTCTTTGTGCAATAATGTAAAATGAAAAAGCTTCGTCTTCAATTTTCTCTGATATCAGTTATTGTGATTTTATTTCCTTTGAGCTTTAGTGTTCAATCAACTGTTGAAAACTGCAATTTAAGTAATAAAATAAAACTTGTCTCTTCCTTCCAAAGGAATGCCCACAGAAGTTTACATTTATGGAATAAACATCGTTTACATTTTTCCCACAATGATTTTCTTGGCCTTATTTGTGCATCATGTCGTTATTCCAGTTTTTTACAATCTCCAAATCGTTTCAACTTATGAGGTAAATGAACATATATTTCGATTTTAATGTTGTACGCAGTTCGTCTGATTATATAACAAGCGAATAATCATAAAAGTTTATCATCATTAGAACATCTTTGAAATCATTTTCATCGTTATAATACTTTTAGTATCTCGAGATGCGATTCAGCACTAAAGTGAGACTTTTTGGATCGTTACTCTTTCTTCTTAGTAACGTGAGTAGATTTTCAAAATATCAGACGTTGATTAGATCATTCTTCATTATTTTTCTTTCTTTTTATCGAGAATAAAACAAGAAACAAAAAAAAAAATCTTACAGATTTTATGGCTTCCAATAGTAATTTATGTTCCAGCTTTGTCCTTCAATCAGACAACCGGAATAAATGTTCAAACTATCAGCATCTTTGTCTGCCTTGTTTGTGTCTTTTATACTCTCTTAGTGAGTATCCTTGACTTTATTATTACAAAAATGATGTTCTTTAGTAAGAATTTACTGCATAATGCTTCGAGGGTGGGATTAAAGCTGTCGTATGGACTGACGTGATTCAGATACTGTTGATGTACGGATCTATGACGTTTATCATAGTTAATGGCGTTACAGACATCGGCAGTCTATCAATTATTTTTGAAAGAAACGCTCAAAGTTCAAGATTCGCACCACCGAAGTAAATATAATGCCAGCGGATTTATTCAGCCATTTGACACTTCAATAAACTTTTCTTCTTCATAACAGTGTGAATTTTGATTTAACTGAGAGACATTCAGCGTTGTCATTAATGATTGGCGGAACGACATTTTTCATTAATCTTTTTGGTATCGGACAACCGATGATTCAACGTTATTTGTCACTCCCTTCAATTAAAGCTGCTAGGAAAGCACTGCTTTTGAACATTATCGGAGTTGTATTAATGGCTTCGATGTGTTGTTTTTGTGGTCTGATTATATATGCGAAATATCACGATTGTGATCCTTTAACAACTAAATTAGTGTCGGCTAAAGATCAACTTTTACCACTACTTGTAATGGAAAATGTGGGAGATGTTCCGGGATTTCCAGGCTTATTCATAGCTGGCGTATTTTCAGCATCACTAAGCTCATTATCAACGGCACTTAACTCAGCAGCTGCTGTTGTTCTTGAAGACTTTTGGAAGCCAAATTCAAAAAAAGAGCTTAGTGAGAAGCAAACAGCTTTCATAATGCGTTCAACAGTTTTTGTATTGGGAGCTATTTCGGTCGCACTCGTTTCAGTTGTACAAAAGTTAGGCGGAGTTTTACAACTTGGAATGAGTTTATTATCAGCTTCAAATGGACCTCTCTGTGGATTATTCTTTATCGGATTTTTCCTTCCATGGATCAAAGCGAAGGTTTGATTTAATCTCCTTTAATCTTATTTTTTCTTCTTCGATGCATTGATAAAATAGTAAAACATTTTAAAAAATCAATTCAATGTACAATTTAACTTCCAATACCAATTTATTCATTGGAAACTGTCCAACTCAATTTATATTGAAAAGATTTCATTGCCAAACATTTTCCTTATAATGGAATTTATTTTACAGGGAACACTTATTGGAGCTCATGTATCAATTGTGATATCAATGTATGTGGCATTTAGAGCACAACTCGACCAATCATCCGGTGAATTAAATCATGATGTTAAGCCAACATCAATAGATGGATGCAGTTACAGTTTCAATATTCAAAATTTCACCAAAGCTTCAACATTGCCAGAAGACGAGACAGAAATTTCCCTGAAACTTCATCATATGTCGTATTTCTTTTTTTCAGTCTTTGGAACTTTCATTTGCATTGTGGTCGCTTATATTGTAACGCTCATTGATCGAGATACCGATCCTTCGAAAGTTGATACAAAACTTCTCGCTCCATTTATCAGAAAATATTTCGATAAAAATAATTTAGAGAATTTTCTTGAAGTTCCTTTAAATGATATTTAAAACCATATTCATGATGGCATGAGAATCTTATTCGGAAGGGATAAAATATGAAGACAACACATGGTCTACCTGCTTCGGATGATGATGGTGATGCTGATAAAACAGCAATAAATTATTAATAATGTTTTAATCTTCGTAAATTAACTTAAATTGTTAAATAAGATGAATAAATGTTGAGTCGATTAAGGATAATTGTTTCATGGATCAATAAACAAAGGAACGTGATTACACAGAAATCACGTCGAGTAATTAGAAACGAAATTTCTTTTTACTTTAGGTAAATTAATTTATCTCGCCTTTTCTTATAAAGAAAGGGAAAGCAATTCAGTATCCTTCTAATCAACGTTTGTTTCTCAATAGTTAATTACTTCCAAGGAAGTATCTTCAATGATGCCTTAAAATTGATAATATTAATTGTTAAGTTAATGACAAAATCATTCAATTAAAACTAATTTCAAAGTATCCAAAATACTTGAAATATTAAACATTAAATATCAAGACATCTTTCGTCATGAAGATTTTATATTTAAATAAACATACAGAAACGTCTCTCAATCTCTCCTAAAAGAGACAGCTTACATCTGTATGATGTCAACGATGAACGATAAGAGCTTACAGAGGCATGGAATTTGTCTCGAATATATTTTTATAAGTAAGTTAAGGCAATCTTAAGTAAATATTTACAATTAACATAAATCTAAAGTTTAGATGTTCCTGACTTTTACTTATCATTATTTCTTTGCTTAATATAAATAGCAAAAGTAGTCAACGTTATACGTTTTCTTGTAAAGTGAAGCTTCATTGAGTTTTAATTGAGTGAACGTAACAGTAGCTTTCAACTTCTCAAACCGAATAATATTTCTTCTGACTTCAAATAAAGAAACTATTAAGTTTTTTTTATGTGACAACTTTCAGTTCTCATAAGTGCACTTTTATCATTTTCAATCTCTCGAGAACTTTGATTAGCTTATCAATTGACTTTTCTCTCTTTGAGACAGCGATACTTAAGTAATTTATTTAGTTTAGTTGTGATACTGATTTCAGCTAAGACGGAGTTGGATTTTCGACTCTTGACTTGGGAGATTTACCTTCAAATATCACGTAGTTGAAATCTTTTTTTATAATTGAAAATTTAAGGTAAAAGTTGAAGACATGAATGTTGAATCTGAGACAAATAAAGTTCGAGAAATGAATGTCGATGAACTTAGTAATTCTTTAAAACGATTTGGAACAGCCGATTATGCAGTATTTATTACTATGCTCGTCTGTTGTTCGATGGTTGGACTTTATTTTGGTTATAAAGATCATGAGAAGCATAAAAAGATGTCAAAGAAGCAACAGGAAGAAGGTGGCACGGAAGCTTTAGATTACCTCATGGGCGGAAGAAATATGCAAGTTTTTCCTGTTGCAATGTCACTCGTTGCGTCATTCGTTTCTGGTATTACATTGTTAGGTAAGAAATGATATGAATGTACGAACGAACTTGAAATTTAATTTAATTAACAAACAATTCAATTCAGGAACAAGTACCGAAATTTATTTGTATGGAACGCAGTATTGTTACATTTTTATCTCGATTGCACTGGCGGCATTCATCATGCATCATACAATAATTCCGGTTTTCCATGAGCTTCAGATAACGTCAACATACGAGGTTCGAAGAAGTGATAGAAAATTAATTATTTTATTCATGCAAATTGCTTTTATAATTTAGTATTTGCAAAAACGTTTTGACCGAAATGTTCGACTTTTTGGCTCGACTATGTTTACATTAGCGACTTGTTTGTGGATGCCAATCGTGCGTAAATTTCCTTTTGATTGCGGCTTAGATTTTACAATCACACCAATTAAATTGTCTCATTTTTCAGGTGATTTACGTACCAGCTTTATCGTTCAATCAAACAACCGGCGTTGATATTCACATAATTACACCAATTGTTATGACTATTTGCATCTTTTATACATGTTTAGGCGGAATTAAAGCAGTGGTTTGGACAGATGTAATTCAAATTATTTTAATGTATGGAACACTCGTCTTGATTGTCATTAAAGGCACAATAAGTGTGGGAGGATTATCTGTAGTAATTGATAGAAATTACGGTAGTGGAAGATTTGAAGCACCTGAGTGAGTTTCACAATTTCAACTCCTATTATTATGTACCTTAAAACATTTTCTTGATACTTCAATTAGTTTTCGTTTGGATCCAACAATCAGACATTCATTCTGGACTATTTTAATTGGTGGTACAATATTCTGGTTGAATGTGAATGGATTAAATCAGAACATGATTCAGAGATACATGTCTCTGAAAGATGTTAAAACAGCACGCAAAGGTCAAGTGATGTATGTGATTGGAGTGACTGTTATGATTTTCCTTTGTGTTTACAATGGCTTACTACTTTATGCAATGTACCATGATTGCGATCCATTAACAACTAAACTTGCTAAAGCGAAAGATCAATTGATGCCTTTGCTTGTCATGGATATTTTGAAGGATCTCCCAGGCTTGCCAGGATTGTTCATTGCTGGTGTCTTCTCAGCTGCTTTAAGTTCACTTTCAACTGGTTTGAATGCGATGTCTGCGGTAGTTCTCGAGGATTTTTGTAAGCCTTTCATGAAGAATGGAGTTACAGAACGACAAAGTGCTTACATCATGCGTGGCACCGTGTTGGTTATAGGAATTGTTTCAGTTGCACTCGTTTATGTGGTTCAACATTTAGGTGCAGTTCTTCAGTTATCAATGAGTGTTCCAACAGCGTGTTTTGGTCCAATGCTTGGAGTTTATGTTGTTGGTTTTACTTTGCCATGGGTTGGAAAGCGTGCTACGCTGTACGGTGCTATTATTGGATGCATCACCATGATGACAATTGTTTTTAAAGCTCAAGCTGAAATGGCACTAGGGCATATGAAATTTGAATACAAACCATTGTCAACTGATGGTTGTGGATACAACTTCACAGTTTCTAGTGATAAAAATTTAACCACAAACTCAACAATTAATGCTCATCACGATGACAAAAGCATTTATCACATTTCTTATCTTTATTACACTCTTCTGGGTTCACTGGTCGTGACCGTTACGTCACTTCTATTTAGCTTCATTTTTGGCTTTCAAGATCCAAATGACGTCGACCCTAGGCTGTTGGCGCCATTTTTAAGGAAATACATAAAACCAATGCCGAATAAACAACAATTTATTGATGTAAATGGAAAAGAAGTTGTCGTACATAATTTTGATATCAAAGAGAACACTTGTACATAAGAATTTTGGGTATATGTAACAGATCTAATGTGTAATAAAATTTATCTGAATAAATATCAAAAGCAATTTTCTGTTTTTGTTGACAATCATCTCGCGTCAAGTATTTTTCGACACACTCTTCAAAATGATTTGTTTTGTCTGGTGATATAAATTTTTTTCAATCTCGTCTGAGAATCGTTAACTGGATAAGTGTGCAATAAGAAGCAGTATGATGAGCCCCCGGAAAGAACATTGAATTACAAGTTATGATGGATTTACGTCCAGAGTTTGAAGACTTTCGGTGTGTGTAGCCTTTTCTATGTGATGCTCATGAAATTAATTGCAATAATTTAAGATTCAATTTCGTAGAATATTTTGAAACATTAAAAGAATGATTTCATCTACGAGTTGTTGAAATTATAAGGAAATTTTTCTTTTCCTTTTTCTGAAAATGCCGTCAAGTCGCGACATTTATTTTAAAATTCTTCTTCTCGGTTGCTCTTCCAGTTGCTTTATAAATAAAAAAGAAAAGCTTTATGTTATCATTCAGTATCGTTTGTGCATTTGTATAGATGAGATAAAGCTTAAATAAATCTTTTTATTTATTCTACGATTTTGTTTAACATGATAACAAACGACAGCATCTTCACAATAATATCAGGAAAAATATTACCAATGTTAATGTTTGATATCAACGATACTGTGATAAGGGCAATTCAGTCAAAAGCTTTTTCTTTTCGGATATTTCCATGATAAAAGAATGAAAAACAATTGTGAAGAAAATCTTGTTAAAGATGTGAGAAAAGGAAAATTCGGAAAATTGTTTTTTCTGTTATTTGCAAATGATTTCAGTTCTCGGAAAATTGGAATTCAAAAGGAATTTTCTATAATCTGTTAGTATTTGCTTACATTTCATGGTTTGATATCTAATAGACAAGCAATAAAATTCAATAAAAAAATATACAAAGAAGGTGAAAAATGTTTCTCATCCTGAAGATGCTTTAAAATATTTGAAGAATTCAGTATTATCGTGTTACAAAAATGTATGAATGTTAACTTCAATTTATTAGAATATAATTAAATTATTAATGAATGGCTGAATCTTATGCTCAATGAAACTAATTAAAAGGTTATTTGCTTTCATCAAGTTGATAGATAATTTAGTATCTAAGTCGCATAATGTTTATCAAAACATGTTTAAAAGCAATTATGTTAAGCAATTTATAAATGAATAGAATTCCGTTTGAGTGAAAGAGAAGTTCATCAATTCATTCAGTATTCGCAAACAAGAAAGTTCTTTACATGTCTTATTTATGAAAGAATTCAATCAATAGATAATAATTATTAGATAGTAATAGAGGTGACAATTTTGATGTCAATTTGTGGATGTTTTTGTGCCTGTCTAGAGCTGAATAACATCATGGGCTTGAAAAAAACCTAATTCATATCATCTTGATGAATAAAAGACATCTTTTGATAGATTATGTTCCGACCAGTAAACGTAGATGAGTTGTTCGTGCGAAAAGGCGATTTTAGAAATCACGTCTGTGAAAGAATTTGAACGACTAAGAACTTCTGTAATCCGAAAGAATGATTTCAATTCACCTTTCGACATTAAAGGCTTTTTCCTGATCTCTAGTAATCTTAAATGCTCGTGAAGGCACAAAACATAATTTTTTTGCTTAGTTAACTAAGTACATATAAATATTTGATTAAAAGGCCAAATCAAAAATCTAATTCAACATACCCAAATGACTTCCTATCAAAAGATGTAATGATGATCCAATTAGATAACAGTAGATTATTTATCAATTTTAACCCTTATAGTAAAAGGGTATAAAAATCTCTCAATTTTTGGGAGAATATGAAAATACTCAAATATTTATCATTAAATTTTTCTTTTTTCATACAAATCTGTTTATGTTTTTATCTGTTAAGTAGAGCGTAAGCAGTTTTTTTTATTAAAACTTTTTCCTGATGACTTCCGCTATTTACTTCTATAACTTTATTATGGAGCATAAAATAATTTAGTTTATATGATCCCAGACAAAGCTTCAGGCGTCATAAACTTTTAATCAAACATTCGATATCTGGAACAATTAATTTCATAAAATAAAATAAAAATATGAGAGAGAAATAATTTCCAAAACAGAACTTTATTATAAAACATATCACAGTATCTCATAATAAAGATGATTCAACAGCTTTGAATTTAATTTGAATAAATAGCAACTAGTTAAACAGAGATAAAGTTTGCGAAATTTGCATGTTGTTAACGGCTATTCTGTATGAAGAGGCCGGAAATAAGTCATAACAAACTTTTCATCAACTTGTTTAATTAACAAACAAATCCCTGTTGATACTTTCAATCTCGATTAAATTTAAATATTATGGTAACAATTCTCAGATTTCTCTTTTGGATCTTCAAATATATGATTTAACATTTTATCATCAGCTTCAGGAATTAATGATGATGGATTGTTCAAACTCATTTGTGGATGGAGTAGAAATGATCCGCTGATGTTCTTCCTCATAGCTATTTTCACTGGAATCATTAAGCATCCTAGGAATTCACTCCGTCTGTTAATGATAAAAGAAGTGAAAATTAGAAATTTGTAGCATTTTCACGTAATTCTTTAAATTTATGCACACTCATACACATTCATTTCACAAACCCAACAATAAAACTATGACGAAACATGTATCACGAGTATAGCCAAGACACATTTTCAAAAATAAAATTTAAATTCAAAACTTCCGTTAAACTTACTTGAGATTTCTATTTCGATGCCACACAGCAATTTGTACATATTTTGCATAATCACTGAAATCATTTATGTTGAACACAAATTTTTGGTCAAAATTGGGACAAGTTGAATTTTTATGAACTGCAGTTCTTTGGTATACGTTTTGGTGATTTTGAAGTGTTACTAAAGCGCATTTGACATAAGCGTTAATTTGAGGACTTTCACTGGTTCTTTCCAAATTATTACATTTTATCACTGCAAGATATAAAAAATAAGGATGTTTTAAAATTTATATAATAAAATGATGGTCTTTGTTTTTTTCAACACTTTACCAAACTCACCGTGAATCACAATTTTCTTTCGATTTTCTTCTGTTGAAATCGTCATTTCTAACGAACCTTTCATTAAAAGGTTCTTCGTATATTTTGACTGTGATACGTAGGAATTTGAAGATCCTGATGAGTATGATGCAACTGAAGATCGTTTGAACTTATCACTGACGTCGTCGAAATTGGCTGACGAGAAACTCAAACATTTTTGAATTGACGAGTCTTGAAATTCCTTTTGGGATTTTCCTTGACTTTCTTCACATTTTTTCTTATTTTTATTTTCATTGCTTGTGTTCTTTCTCCGAACTGCATTTTGTCTCTTCAATTGACAAGTTTCATCAGCTCTAAAGTCAACAATTTCTACATCTTTTTTAACCATCGNTTTCGATAATGAATCATCAGTTTCAACTATAAGTGGAGCTGGCCTTAATAAAAAAGATTGTGGTTGGAGTTTGAATGTTCCTTCAATATTCTTTTCCAAAATATTTTTCACAGATACTGTCAGGCAGCCAATAAATTCGCTTCGTCTAAAAGATATGAAAAGGAATTTTAAATTAAAATTTTTGACAATGATAGATTATGGATGATAGTGATCATAGAATTATGGTGAAACTTATTTGATCAGAGATTTATGACCATTAATCATATTTCTATGATGATTACATATTCTACTACAATATTATGAGGATATTTCACTGGTAATGTGTCTTTGCTTATCTAAGGAACAAATTTTAAGTACTTAACACAATCTAGTACTTCAGATCTTCCTCTAGGACACATTGCCTTCCATACAAAATAGACCCAAAAAATTCGTCCGGTGAGAAAAGTTGAACACTCTCCACCTGAAACTAACTTTGGAGAGGCGAGTTTTAGGTGGAGAGTGTACAATTATCTAGCAGTAGTGAAGGGCTTAATATGTTTACATATTTCTTAGTCATATAAAAAATTACTCACTTTAAACTTCTGTTTCGATGCCATACAGCAAGTTGAAGATATTTTTCATGATCATCTGAATTATTTAAATCAAAATTGAATTTATGATCAAACACAGGTTCTGTTGAGTTTTTATGTACTGCTGTTCGTTGATAAGTGTTGTGATGTCCAGATGGTGAATTCAAAGTGACCATCGCACATTTCACATATGCATTGACGTGTGGAATATCAGTTGTTTTAGGTAGATGCTTACATTTTAAAACTGTTGAAAACAAGGAAATTTTAGTTGAATTTTTCTTGAAAGGAAGACGCTTTTTCTATTAGGTAAACACTTTACCAAACTCACCGTGAATCACAATTTTCTTTTGATTTTCTTCTGTTGAAATCGTCATTTCTAACGAACCTTTCATTAAAAGGTTCTTCGTATATTTTGACTGTGATACGTAGGAATTTGAAGATCCTGATGAATTTGATGCAACTGATGAACGTTTGAACTTATCACTGACATCGTCAAAATTTTCTGATGAGAAACTCAAACATTTTTGAATTGACGAGTCTTGAAATTCCTTTTGGGATTTTCCTTGACTTTCTTCACATTTTTTCTTATTTTTATTTTCATTGCTTGTGTTCTTTCTCCGAACTGCATTTTGTCTCTTCAATTGACAAGTTTCATCAGCTCTAAAGTCAACAATTTCTACATCTTTTTTAACCATCGGTGACTTCACTTCTCGTTCGTTTTGTATTTCAGTATTTGCAATGATGATTGTCTTGTCTGCAGCTTCAGTGATCTTTTCTGGCGACAAAAGTTTCACGATGCTTTTTTCTTCCATGTTCTCACAAATCTCACTCAAATTCTTCATAAAGTTAGCATTTGTATCACGCCCTGTCTTCTTTGATTCTGCTAAACCACTTTTGAACTTCTTTCCATTTCTTGCACTTGCTAAGATGTCATCGATCATCTTCTGCAACGTCGTGTCACCAACTTCTGATGAGTTCAACGATGATTCTGAATCATTTGATAAGTTCAGTGGAACTTTCTGTTCGTTGATGACTTTTCTGCTAACTAATGGAGTGGAAAGTGGTGACGACGTCGATGCCGATTCAGGATGAAATTCGTACGAAAGATCCATCAAGTCCATTTTCATTCGCTTAATTGGAATTTCATCATTCACTCGTATCGAACTTTTCACTAAATTTTGAGAACTTTTCATCACTGGTGAGTACTCAACATCAAATGTTGGTAAGGTTGGCGCATAACTTGATGGAAAAATGATTGCCGATGGCTCCACAAAAACTTCTTTGAAGTTGAATGAAATTGGTGAAATTGTTGGCGATGTCAAAGCTGTTGATGATATCAAATGATGTTTTCGTTTATTGCAGTTTTCTCGTCGTTTATTGCTGCTGTCACCAAGCGGAGTTTGTCTGTTGGATTTCCTTCGAACTGGAGTCACGAGGTGATTCTCCTTGTCAACTTTAACTCTTTCATTACATAACTGACTTCCAAGTGATCTTCTTCTATGATATTTTGAAACATTTTTGCTTTGATTATCTCCTAAAACATTCCCAAGTGACCTTCGCGTCTTCTTAACTCCATTAACACTTTCGTAATCATCGTCGAGTTGCTGTTCACCAGCAAAACGTTTTTTAACGGTCCACTTCAACATTCTTTGACCTCTTCCCGTTCTCTTCTTCTTCTTTGGTTAGTTCCTGTAAATAAACAAAGGAAACAGAAATTTAAATTAATGTCCTGTCTCTTTGATTTCTTAACTTTGATAAAAGAAATATTCTTTTGAAGTTTGACGCATGATACGCTTCCACTTCTGTCATTTCAATAGCGGAAATCTAGGACATTAAAGTAATATTTTAATTCATCAAAATTCTCTGGGAGTGGCAAATCAATATAAGTAACTTTTTATAAACATGATGAGAGGTCACTGAAGCAAGAAAAATGTTTTCCTTATTACTTACTTCAACCATCCAATTAGATATTTGTAAAAAAAGTTCTCATGATTATTTGTGAACATGAAAGAATATCCCAGAAACGAAAAAGGGTTTCATTTATCATGTTACTTAAAGTGAAGACATGCATTATTACACATTAACTGTTTAATACATTATTACAATACATGACATTGTGGTTTCTTCAAATAAATTTATAAAATTTTTGACCAACTCGAAATGCGATTTGATTCGGAAATCTTCAAAGTTCTCTAAAAGGAAAAATTCTTGAAACTTTTTACGAATTGTCTCAATTCTTACGCAATCCACCTGTTAACTACCCGCCTTTATATGAACATCGAAAAGGCGATAAAAGTCAATCAAAAGTGTAAAGTGCATTAAAAAGAGAACAACAAAGAAACGCTTCAAACATACGGAAATCGATCGAAGGATTAAATTTCTTTTATGCTGGCTTGAATTTGAACGTGGTTTGAAATTAAATTTCCGGCTTCAAAAAAAAGATTTTCAATGTAAAAGAAATTCTTGAAGTTCAGTAAACTTTTGTAGATCTTGGAATGTTAATTATGATCATTGAATTAAATTAAATATAATTACTGTCGTTACATGATCTACCGTGAGCGATAAAGTAAAATGCTAGAAATTATTTCAAACGCATATGGCACGCTTCTAATTTAATTGCATCGGTTTAATGTCAAAGATCCTCGATCTATATCAATATGGTCAACGATTAAATTTACCTATGTTAATAACTCAACTATGATGATTTCAATTTTTTCTACATCGCTGACTTTGTTAATGATTCTTCTCCATTAACCGATGCCCAGCTTAACTGCTTTTTAATGTAATTTCTGTGCAATCATTTCATGACGATCATTTATAAATTGTAAAACCATATTCAGTAGCAAAAATACAACAAAAGGATTAACAGCGTAAACATCGTTTTTATTGTGAGTACATTTAGTTCTGGTGATGTTGCACTTTTCGCTTTTCCCCGTCCCGTTGCTGATTTTACCGAAAAAGATTTTTTTTAACAATAAAACTAACTTTGTTTCACCCCTATCTACAATAGATACAAACGTAGTTTCACTGAGTGCTGTTATTTTTTTCCATTAATGTTCATTGATTATGAAGTACGATGGCAAACACTTTCATGTTGTTTTGCAATTCACGATTTCACTTAAACGTCATCAAAAACTACTTAAATTCGGGGATAGAAAAAAAATTATTTCCACGATGTGAAATAACTCGAAATGATGAAATTTATGTCTTTTTTATGTACCGACAAAAAGTTAGAGAAAGGACATAATTTGAACCAGCATTGCACTTTTTAATGAGCACGAACTGACATCGGAAATTATGATGGAAGTGACAACGATTGTCCACTTCTAAAAACTCATTTTTTACGTTATTCATAAATAATATTTCTGACGCTTTATGCAACCGTTTTGCTTAGAATTGAGTTCAATTAATTTAACTCAAATAATAAAAGTATCACTTACAATCTAAATTATAAAAATTAATAGAAATTGAACAACCCGTGGTTGAGTTTCGTGCGTTATGATGAAGCAAGTGCATATTATTATGACATTATCTCGATTATTTCTAATGCAACTGTTAATTTTACTTCCGTTTCCTGTCACAATATTTCTACTTTTTGATGATAGATTGTGCATAGGTTTTAGAAATTTGTAAAAATTATTAATAAGAAAAAAATTTATGTCGTGAACAATTGAATTAGATTGCAATTAAAATTAAATTTAACTATGAAATCGCGTGATTAAATACAAATTGATATATAAATTGGAATTGAATGATGTAGAGAGGTGCAATTAACAAGACCAGGTGTTGCTTGTTGTGAAATTAGTCAGATCTCTTCTCGAGAAATTTCATTTTATCAGATATCTAATTAATTGCAAGTAACTTTCAATCATGTAAAGATTAAATTTCCAATCTTAAGAAAGAAATCTAACTGAAACTTTTGCAATGTTGACGAAAGATATGAAGAAAGGCAGATGCAGTGTTTAAGCAATCGATATTCGTTCGAACCCAAACAAGACACACATCAGCTGAGATACAAAAAAAGACATCATTGAACATCGGTTGGAATTTCTTATGATCCAATTTTCTTACTTGAGGAATATTTTCATTTCTATTCTTTCCATTGTTGGTTGATGCTTGTCTTACGAACCCCGAGCTGTCGTAAATCGTATTATTTTTTATGAACTGATACCTTTTTATGATCGAAGAAATGTGCGATGTGATGCCTCTTCCATCAAATGTTAGCACAATAAAAAATTTCCTCAAGTTTTTTTTTTCTTTCTTAGACTATGACGAAGTTTGAGGGTTCGAAATTATTTTCATAATGAAATGAATATACATAAAAGAAGACGATTTTTTAAGGAAATAACTAAGTGAAAATAAAATGAAATCAAGCAAAATGTCAATTTGATTTTAGTTACTTATCAACCATATCAAAATTCTTGTAAATTGATTCGTTGTGCTTCTTGCGGTTTTTGTTATCCATGAACATAAAAAATCTTTTGTAGAAATTTCTTAACTTAACTTTTGGGCCTTTTTTTAATGTCAAAATATTTCTTAAATGTTTCCGTATAATTTTTGGATTAAGCAACGGAATTTTGTAAATGTCAATAATTCATTATTTATTCATAGATAGCTTAAGAAAATCTTCACACGGAAATTATTTATGGATTCTTCTTTCTTATAGAATTCCTTGAAATTCCTTCGTTCCACTAATTAGCTTTCTCGATTCAATTTAAAAGCAATTGTTACAGAAAAAATGCAGATTTTCGCAATTAAGGCGGGAGAAAAAGGAATGAAGACGAAGCAAAGAAGTTGCTGTTTATACAATGGATCCTTGTTACCCTCTCGAGTCTTCTCTGCCATGTCATAAATTTCGTTTTCGTTGTGCTTTGACCTTGGTGTGATGAGCATAAATTCCATCTCGCCGAGTATTTTTGGCAAACAATCATCGAAGGAGATTTAATTTCGAGACAAACTAGTTTAACTTCGATTCCCAGTCTTCGTCTTCATACGACACAACACAACAAGGAGAACCCGACAAATACAAAGAAGCTTAATGAAAGAACAGGAATCGAGCACCTGGAGACTCTTTTCACACGAGGACATCGCCAGTAAATTCCTTTCAGTTTCTTTTTCGGTTCAATCTTCTTCCTTACGTCACTTTTTCTTTCCGATCACTGAAAAATTGCAAAATNGTTGAAATCGTCATTTCTAACGAACCTTTCATTAAAAGGTTCTTCGTATATTTTGACTGTGATACGTAGGAATTTGAAGATCCTGATGAGTATGATGCAACTGAAGATCGTTTGAACTTATCACTGACGTCGTCGAAATTGGCTGACGAGAAACTCAAACATTTTTGAATTGACGAGTCTTGAAATTCCTTTTGGGATTTTCCTTGACTTTCTTCACATTTTTTCTTATTTTTATTTTCATTGCTTGTGTTCTTTCTCCGAACTGCATTTTGTCTCTTCAATTGACAAGTTTCATCAGCTCTAAAGTCAACAATTTCTACATCTTTTTTAACCATCGGTGACTTCACTTCTCGTTCGTTTTGTATTTCAGTATTTGCAATGATGATTGTCTTGTCTGCAGCTTCAGTGATCTTTTCTGGCGACAAAAGTTTCACGATGCTTTTTTCTTCCATGTTCTCACAAATCTCACTCAAATTCTTCATAAAGTTAGCATTTGTATCACGCCCTGTCTTCTTTGATTCTGCTAAACCACTTTTGAACTTCTTTCCATTTCTTGCACTTGCTAAGATGTCATCGATCATCTTTTGCAACGTCGTGTCACCAACTTCTGATGAGTTCAACGATGATTCTGAATCATTTGATAAGTTCAGTGGAACTTTCTTTTCATTGATAACTTTTCTGCTAACTAATGGAGTGGAAAGTGGTGACGACGTCGATGCCGATTCAGGATGAAATTCGTACGAAAGATCCATCAAGTCCATTTTCATTCGCTTAATTGGAACTTCATCATTCACTCGTATCGAACTTTTCACTAAATTTTGAGAACTTTTCATAACCGGCGAGTACTCAACATCAAATGTTGGTAAGGTTGGCGCATAACTTGATGGAAAAATGATTGCCGATGGCTCCACAAAAACTTCTTTGAAGTTGAATGAAATTGGTGAGATTGTTGGCGATGTCAAAGCTGTTGATGATATCAAATGATGTTTTCGTTTATTGCAGTTTTCTCGTCGTTTATTGCTGCTGTCACCAAGCGGAGTTTGTCTGTTGGATTTCCTTCGAACTGGAGTCACGAGGTGATTCTCCTTGTCAACTTTAACTCTTTCATTACATAACTGACTTCCAAGTGATCTTCTTCTATGATATTTTGAAACATTCTTGCTTTGATTATCTCCTAAAACATTCCCAAGTGACGTTCTTGTCTTCTTAACTCCATTAACACTTTCGTAATCATCATCGAGTTGCTGTTCACCAGCAAAACGTTTTTTAACGGTCCACTTCAACATTCTTTGACCTCTTCCCGTTCTCTTCTTCTTCTTTGGTTAGTTCCTGTAAATAAACAAAGGAAACAGAAATTTAAATTAATGTCCTGTCTCTTTGATTTCTTAACTTTGATAAACATAAATGACATTCAAGGATGGACAACAAAGAAAACTGAAAAGGAAATCAAAAACATTGAAGAAAAGACATGAAATATCTGAGAAAGCAAATTAAACTCAAGGGGACGATCGTTTGAAGATTTTTAATAGGAAGCTCTTAATATCTAATTATTTAGTTCGTAAGTTATATCCGGAATTATCGCAACTAACAAAGACAATGAGAATTCATTGAAAAGAAACATTTTTCGAACGATGGGGCTGCTTTTTGAATTTGTTTAGAGATGTTCGGCAATTCTTTTTTTGCAGATATTTTTCTATTTCTTATCGTTAAAATATTACTTAAAAGCATAATAATTAGGAACTTGCAGTATAAAATTTAAATAACTTGGTTTGCTAAATAACAAATTTAACATGCTTTAAAATTTATATTATGAACGCTTAAAATCGCTTGAAGTCAAGGTGTCAATGTGACAGGTAAATAAGTTTCAACCATTTGTTCATTGTAAAATTTAATTTCAATCTCTAAAGTGCTATTTGTTAATCAGTGAAAAGATGAGAATTCATAATAATTGTAGTGACATATTAAGAAGCTTCAAGTTTTCATGGATTTGTTTATCTTGCAGATCAAAGAACTTCACCAGTTGAAAAGAAATGAGGTTTTTATCAAAGAAATCAACAATCAAAGACTTTCAATTTGAGAGTTTCAATACGATTATTTTTTATCATGAAAAAGTAGAAGAAGAATTCTGAAGATTCTGATAATGAAGAAGTTAAAGTTAGACGTCAAATAAAATTTTGCTGTAATTGTAGACAATGTTGAGACCGCTCCGTTTTATATATCGAAACAAAGCCCTGGTCATGTTATTGCATAAAGTTATTGTTGAAATTTTTATTTCTCTCTCGGCGTCGTTATGCACCTGTTTCCCAAGAAAAAAAAGAAACAAAAGTAGGAAACGAAGTTTATAGGCGTTAAAAGTTCAACTCAAAATGTGCTGACAAAAAGGCTTCGATGACGGTAGTTCTTGTGAGGGATGAAAGTAAAACATGTGGAAAAATATTTTATAATTCATTGTTCAGGCTCGTTTTAAGCGTGATCACAAAATCGATTGCTTCCTTTTCAACTTCTCTTGTTATTTATTTATTTATTTTTTCTCATCTTGTTTATTGTGTAAGCAACAACATATTTTATACACATAAAAATTATTGAAAATGAGTTGACTGAAATGACAGCAATGAGTATGAAAACAAAGCTAACATCTCAATGAATAATAATTGAAATGAAAAGGATATTCAACTTGATGATGAGTCCAGATGTCAACATTTGTTTAATATGTAAATATTTTATAGAACAATTAAAGATGTCAAGCGATGATACTTGCGATTTATGTCATCAATTTGCTTAAAACGATGTCAAATTAGATTTTAATTTGAATACTGGAACTTTCATTCACATTTCTTGCAAATTGTCATTCAATTGCATAATTCATAAAGCCACTTTGAACATATGCTGCACTTTCAAGTCATTACATGATATTGTCTACCAGAAAACCAAACAATCAATTAAAACAGCAGCAGCAGCTTGTGTCCGTTATCTCAAGTGCCAATCAACAGAGTCAAGTTAATTTGCACAAATAAACGAAAAAGTTTTCAAATAAAATTTGCATGACGACCGCAAAAACGCTAACGCACGGCACAATATGAAGGGTTCGGAAAATGTTGAAAGTATTGTTCCACAAATTGTTATCGACTGAAATATCAATTAAAGGTGGGATGAAAAATGAAATAAACAACATGATTTAAGGACATTAAAAAAATGCGCATATGATTATTAGCGGTGAAGTTTAGATGTTGAGGGACCGATAAAAACCATTGTACATTTAAATTTGTTAGAACATTTTTATTCAGCCCACATGCGGTATGTTGCAAGTTGCAATGATAATTATGTTTCAAGTTTTGAAGGTACAGATCAAAAGTAAATTACTGTTGTTATGTCGATCAGAAATTCTTCATACTTTTCGCAGAAAACTCATACGATTCGCATGTAACCCTTTTTAGTCTTTCTTGTTTATCAGATTCAATTTCATGACCTAAACTCGTTACTGTCATTTCATCATGTTTAACAATTGTAAATTATATTCAAAATGACATTAAAATGTGAAATGTGGCTACATCGTTAAACAAAATTCACCCGCATTGTGTCATAAAACTTTCAATTGATTTACATTTTCAAATAGAAATTTGCAATACTCAAATTTGACTCAAAAAGTTTATTACAAAAAGCGGTTTTTTAAGTCAACACATTTTTCCAATTGCAGTTGTTGTGCAATTATTTTCTGCTCGCATTTAAACGATCTTTTGTGTTGTTTATGAAAGAACAAACCCGAACTGAGCCTTTCTGAAATTGGTTTCTTTCATTATTTAATTTTTTTATTTAATTCAGCTCAGAGAAAAAAAGAAATCTTTTGCTTTCTACCTGAATGTCTAAGAATGTTGGAAATATTATTATTTCAGGATATGGAAGTAATAAGAAATTGCCTCACATGCATCGCATTGCAGAACATTACCGAGGTCTCGATGACGAAGACCAGGTGCTAAACAGTTCTCAACAAGAACGTCTGCATTTGAAATTTAAAAACGAAGCGTCAGAGAGTGGAGAAATTTCTTCTTTTTCTTTTATTTGGTTTTTATGTCCTTGTAAAGTCTCTCGTCTCAACCACTCTTGAAAAGCATGATATTGCTGCTTACTTACTCAATAACAGCAACGAATCGCAAGACGAGAGAATAAAAATGAATTTAATGTCATTCACGCTTATTTCTGCAACCCTTTTCATTTGCCAATATTCACCTAGTTATGTAAAAAGCTTCTGAGTTGTAAACTCAATTTAAACGGCTTTTGCAAACTCACTTTGCTGACTCATTACCAACCGAGACCATTTTCCAGTTCCTTTTAAAAGAGCATCAATAAAGTATCTTCTTTAAACGGCAGATGTGTTTCATTGATTGAAAAACTATCAGCTGAGCAAAGAGTGGTTCTTAAAGAAAAAAGTGCATCATTGCCTAAGAAGAACTGAAAGTAAAGATTCCGATCCAATTTTCTTTCAACCCAACATCAGATTCATTTCTTTTGTTTATTTTGTTATTCTTGAAAGAGTCCCGAGCTGTCGTAAATCGTATTATTTTTTATGAACTGATACCTTTTAACTATTGGAAGATGTGCAATGTTCTGTCTCTTCCATCATATCTCGTCAGATATAACAAAAAAAAAAACTTCATCATCGTAAAAAAATTATGTCGAGGGTAGAAAAAGATTTTAAGCATAGAATCAGGAAATGAATGAAGTGCTTTCGCTTTAATGAATTTTTATGATAATTTCTTGAAACTAATCTGATTAATTTCTGTAGTGCTCCGATAAGAATTCTATTCTCATTATAAAGCCAGAAGGCGATAAAATTTAGTGATTTGATGTCAGAGAGAAAAAAAATACATTTTAAAATGAACTCAGGCGTAAGCTAACGAAATCAGTTCAGTTGCTGTAGTGATTCACAATTAGCTCGAGAAAGTATTAAATTGCAATTATTTAAGCAATTTCTACTCTTTTGAATTTTATTTCAACCTTTTTTTCATTTGCATTCAAATTCATTCAACCCTCAAGATTCTTGCAAAACAACTCATCGAGATTGAATAATCAAAGAAGAATCGGAAGATGAAAGGAAAATCTTGTTACATTTATTAGCTTTCTCGATTCAATTTAAAAGCAATTGTTACAGAAAAAATGCAGATTTTCGCAATTAAGGCGGGAGAAAAAGGAATGAAGACGAAGCAAAGAAGTTGCTGTTTATACAATGGATCCTTGTTACCCTCTCGAGTCTTCTCTGCCATGTCATAAATTTCGTTTTCGTTGTGCTTTGACCTTGGTGTGATGAGCATAAATTCCATCTCGCCATTTTTGGCAAACAATCATCGAAGGAGATTTAATTTCGAGACAAACTAGTTTAACTTCGATTCCCAGTCTTCGTCTTCATACGACACAACACAACAAGGAGAACCCGACAAATACAAAGAAGCTTAATGAAAGAACAGGAATCGAGCACCTGGAGACTCTTTTCACACGAGGACATCGCCAGTAAATTCCTTTCAGTTTCTTTTTCGGTTCAATCTTCTTCCTTACGTCACTTTTTCTTTCCGATCACAAGACTGAAAAATTGCAAAATTGAAGAACTTTTTTTCATTGAATGGATAGAAAGAGAAAGGGACGAATTTCTTTTTGTTGCAATTTTGTGTGAGTAAACAAACATTAAGAAATGTCATAAATGCATTAAAATGAAATGAAATTGGTTACTGAAAAAAAGTTTTTAATTATAAATGAAAATTCCTGCACGCACAATCTTTTACTCATTCATCAATTTATAACCTCACGGATTTATTCTGCAATAATCAAAAGATATCTAAGTAATAAAAATTTCATTCAACTCTTCAACCCGGAAAACATTAAACGTGAATCATGATTTATTGATTTCTTTTTTTTGAATTCATAACAAAAAGTGTCGTAGAAATAAAACTTCGAATACGAATAAAATGGTATGAATTACTTTTTACGTGAAAACAAATCGTAAAATTCTGATTTACGACCTAAGGACGTCATAAAGTATCTTACAGAGACTTAAGAAACCTTCAAGTGCGTGATTGTTATTCCAAATTATTTAGAAAGGGATCGCGAGAGGTGCGAAGCGGTGAAATTGTTCAAGGACCTTCCCGGTTAACCCTAAGCCTTCACATTACCTTTCTTTAGTCACCGTGGTCGACTTCAAACCGCTTTCTTTTCCTTTCAAATAACAAAAAAAAAAACATCAGTCAGATTATAAATGATGTTAAGTTCACCACAAAATTATTCGCTGACCATTATTGGGAAGAAGTTTCTGTCATCAAAACTGGACATTGAATAAAGAACGAAAGTGAAAAGGTCAGTTGTTGAACAACAGTTGTTGACGTCTTTTGAGATATTTATCAAGAAATATTTCATTACAACTTTGTTTATTCACGAGAGAAAGCGTTCAACCCTTTAGAGACATTCAAATTGATTTAATATTGTCGAGATCTCTTTACATTGACTTCTCGTTTTTGCTTCCTTCTTGTTGATTAGTTTCCGAGATTGTTCTTCAAATAAAATTCCTTTTTTGTTCTCAACTTTCGAGTGCATTACCTCAACTCTCACATTACACAAATGACGAATAAAAAAGTTTATGCTNTTCTTGAAACTAATCTGATTAATTTCTGTAGTGCTCCGATAAGAATTCTATTCTCATTATAAAGCCAGAAGGCGATAAAATTTAGTGATTTGATGTCAGAGAGAAAAAAAAATACATTTTTAAAATGAACTCAGGCGTAAGTTAACGAAATCAGTTCAGTTGCTGTAGTGATTCACAATTAGCTCGAGAAAGTATTAAATTGCAATTATTTAAGCAATTTCTACTCTTTTGAATTTTATTTCAACCTTTTTTTCATTTGCATTCAAATTCATTCAACCCTCAAGATTCTTGCAAAACAACTCATCGAGATTGAATAATCAAAGAAGAATCGGAAGATGAAAGGAAAATCTTGTTACATTTATTAGCTTTCTCGATTCAATTTAAAAGCAATTGTTACAGAAAAAATGCAGATTTTCGCAATTAAGGCGGGAGAAAAAGGAATGAAGACGAAGCAAAGAAGTTGCTGTTTATACAATGGATCCTTGTTACCCTCTCGAGTCTTCTCTGCCATGTCATAAATTTCGTTTTCGTTGTGCTTTGACCTTGGTGTGATGAGCATAAATTCCATCTCGCCGAGTATTTTTGGCAAACAATCATCGAAGGAGATTTAATTTCGAGACAAACTAGTTTAACTTCGATTCCCAGTCTTCGTCTTCATACGACACAACACAACAAGGAGAACCCGACAAATACAAAGAAGCTTAATGAAAGAACAGGAATCGAGCACCTGGAGACTCTTTTCACACGAGGACATCGCCAGTAAATTCCTTTCAGTTTCCTTTTCGGTTCAATCTTCTTCCTTAAGTCTTTATAAATATTTCTTCTTTTTTGTGTGCAAAAAGAACTGAAAAATTGCACAATTGTTTCCGAAAATGTCAAAATCAAGAAGAAATGCTTTCCTGAGGGATCGAAAAAAAATTCTTTTTTTGTTTTGTTGCAATTTCTTGAGGGTAAACAAAAATAAGAAAACTTTCCTGTCGCAATTCGAGACAATGAAGGAGAAAAGATAAATGATTTTATGCTCTAATAAATCACAAACGGAAGCTGGACGTTAAAGATTTGAACTGTTTTTGAGGGTTTGCTTTAAACGTTCCATTTAAGTATCCGAAAGTCATAAAATTTTATTGCTTCTTGTTGCACTTTATATTTACACGCGATCATAAACTGCAGAAGTAATAAAAATTTTAACTTCAAGTGCCTTTTAAAACGATTTCTCAAGGCACTCGAAGTGCGCGGTGTTATTTGATTTTCCTTTTATTTAAGATTCCGGCACGGGGAGAAGCGGGTAGTTTAATTCGGTGAAATTTAATGTTGTTTGCGGAGCGACCTTTGGTTGAACCCTTTCGCTTTCATTTCACTTTCTTTTTCTCTCTTATCATGACCCGAATCAAAATGCAAATGTAAACATTTCTCACCGAAACGCATTGTTGACCATTTTCATGAACTTCTTTTTGTTTTCTGAACAATCAACAGATGCACAAAGGATAAAAAGAAAGAAAAAGGTTTCGGCGGAATGTTGAAACATTTGTAATACGAGATTCATTTGTTGGATTAGATTTTTAATGTTTTGGAAGGCTTGACACTTTTTCAATACGATACAATGGTTGGATTTTCTCCTTCTCGGACACAAAACAAATAGAAATGAACCCTTCGGCTAACCCCTTTTCTGTTTATGTAGATTTAAGACTTCGAATGTCTCCACCTTCATGGTGAGTTCAACAAACTTCTCTTAGATCGAAGAAGTTTTCATTGCAATCTCACCTCAACTTTATTCTAAATGATGGTTTTACGCTGATGAGTTTTAAATGATAATTTCTTGCCATAAGGCACCTTAAGATGACAGAAAAGTTCCTTTTCTTCTATTTCGTATTCTAATGCAGGCCAATGTACTTTATGATGCATTAAGACTTCACAAAAGGGTATGACATGATCCGTTGATTAAAATGAATGACATGAAAATTAAAAATTTAAATTAGATTTTATTTTTTTTCGTCTATTCGTCGGGTTGTCTTGTCGTCCCATGGAAGGAATTTTCCTGTTTGTATAGCATGTGTTTTTGTCTTGTAATTTATGCGAGAAACTTTTTTTATATGTTGCAAGCCAACCAAAAAGTTAAATGTATGAAATATGTAACTGTTACTCGAGGCATTGCTACGGATCGAGTTTATGTTATGACGTCTCATGATAAATTGAAAAATCCAGTTCAGTTTTCAAGAAAAACAATTTCGGTTAAAGAAATTTAATTTTCTACCTGCGCTTGACTTAGTGGTAGTCTATGATTCCTCTAAAGAGTTAATAGCTAATTATTTTTAATGACATAAACAAATATGCCGAAAGAGAAAAAGATTTGAATGCAAATTTTACATGTAAGACCTGCTGAGGATGATCCGTGAAGAAAGAAAAGAAAACTTTAAACAATTGCTAAGATGTTTCTAATAAACACAAATCTTGTGTTCTCGTTTTCAAAAGATACAAACATTATTATCATGAGAGTAAACTATGCTCAGATATTTGTTTCACAATCCCCTTCGGATGAACTCATTTGAAAAAGATTTTCTTTAAATCTTTAAATGCATGGGAATTTGTTCAATTAGTCGGTAATCTTAAGAATTGTTGAGAATTCATCGGAATAATTCTTTTTTCAAAGACGTTAAAGCATGCAAAATTCATTTTCGATTATAATCAATTTCATGCGATTACAAAACTCAACCCTTTCTGAATTTTATTATATTGTAAAATAAGTAATGATGAGTAGTTGAAGATATGAAACATTTACACGTGGAATTGATATTGAGAAAAATAAAAATTTGGCAGCATAGAAATTTTATGCTACAATTTTGAGTTTCGTATCGATTCTCATTACATTTATTTGTCTAACTGATCCCATTGTAATTACACATCTGCATTAGTTTCCATAATAAATATCCTATAATCAATTTCAACTGGACTTTTAGAAAACAAACTGGTCACAACAATGCACCATCATTATTTGTCGATAACAGCATGCATCGTGAGTAAAAGTGTATCATGTTTCAATTTCATGACTGTTTCAATCGATCCACCCTTCTGGTGATGATCGAAAAATGTTGGAAAAAAGTGCACAATGGGTGGTGATTTTAAAATGATATGTTTGACAATGATAGAGTGTCGTGCAATGTTGATTCAATTATGTGACAACTGCAAACGCTCATTATTTTCGGACGTTGAATATCACACAGAGATAATATAATCTGATTATGGATTCAATAATTTATCAGCTTATGTTGAGAATGTTTTACGAACCTTGTTGAGATTATATTTGATGAACTTCTGGATATCCTTTAATTTTAATTTATATTTCTAGATTAATGTTAAATGTCTTAAAAATCATACAAATTTCACAATATTCATAATCTTAAATTTTAACTATCAAAGAAATATTTTTTCTAAACGTTTTAAAATTTTCCTTTTCACACGCACACACGTCTTTATCTGAAGAAGATCAGTACGCAACTGAATGAGAGTCAGGAAATTGAGAGACGTTGAGAGTTAGTTCACTAACACACAATGAAAGTTGTTGATATGCAGTTGCACCCCTAAACTAACTCGAAATTTTCTCTCAAGATTTTGCCCTCTGAATTCTTTGAATCAAAATCGAATAACTTTGAGAATTTTACAAACAAGAAGAAAATATTTTTTCTTGATTAATTAATAAAAAAATCCTGTTCAGCAATTTGCTTTTGCTTGACGAAATATTTTTCACATTCTTTCATTACAAGTTATAAGAATTTGTATTGAATTTTTCTTTTCATTTTTAAAATATTCTATGATTTCTTTTCATTCACTTTTTTCCTTTTTTGACAACCGGAATTAAAAAACCAAGAAGTGAAATAAGAACCTTTTAAATGAATATGACAGTGGCCTTGAAATTTAATGCAATCGCGAAGGGAGAACGCGAGAAAATACAAAATAAAAAAACGAAATGAATGTCTTATAAGTGAAACCGATAAATTCATACTCGAATCAGATTCAAATTCATAAAAATTTCCAAGCATTTCATTAAATATTTAAAAAAGGTGTTGAAACTTTCTCCCTTCAGTTCTAACATTTAAAAGTTATGTGATATTAATAATAATATGCATAAAAGTTCTATTGAAGTGTTTGAACATTTAATAAGTGGCTTAAATTATATTTCAATGAAAAATCTAACATTCGCTGTTTAATCAAACACCATTTAACACATGATCATTGAATGAGCGAAACTGTTGCTGTCAGCATGGTGTTAAATGATTTATAAACTTTCGCTATGAATGAATGCATTGATATGTTAATGCATGTTTTACTATGGAACGTTGACATTTGATTCGGAACTGTTTGACGGACACTTTTTCTCCTTTTTTGTTGTCTGATGCAATCTCATTGTTTGAGTGTAATTTGCCTGAAAAAATGTTTTTATGATGGACACGTGGTAACTTGGAAATGTTTCATTTCATTTGAAATGAAAAACTAAAATTCAGTGAACTGTTTCAAATGTGAGAGGGTCGAAAATAAATTTTGATTTGATTCGTTAGTTGAATTATCATTTAAGTACGATAGTCAAATTTTGATTTTGCGAAGAGCTGCAAATTTTGATTATTTACCAGGTAAATAAAAAAATTATTGAATAAAACAGAAATTAATTAAAATTTCAATTTTCTGTTAAAAACATTAACTGTTTTCTTATGACACACATCAAGAGCTAATGATAAATGCAAATGGTGCTGCAGAACGAAACAATGCAAACAACTAAAGTTTATTTAACTGAACTATATTGCAAATTTATAAAACATCAACAACAAAGTTCATTTAAAATTCATAAAAACATCTGTTGAAATTTGGTGGTTCTGTTGAGTTGTGTTTACAGTTCATTTTAAAGTAAATAAATATAAAAAGTGTGAATGAACTTCCAAACAAATTTGTGTGATATAAAATATAAATCATGGTGAAACGGATAAAGTAAATAATTTAAAGATTGGATAAAGTAAATAATTTAAACACATGTATAGGAAATTTCCGATAACAGGAACAAAGTTGAGTAAATTTTAAGCGATTTAAATGGTTATTAGAGCTTTTAATCGAAGCTTAAGAAAGAAACGAAAAATTACTTAAAACTCTTAATATTTACTCAATGATTTTCCTGCTATCGTAGAATTTCCTTTCTAATATTTTTTCCTTGCTAAATTTGTTTGCAAATCGAAGTTCTTTCTATTCCTCTGCAATCTCGCTATATATGCGCGTACAATCCTTTTTCCTTATTCCATCTATCTCGCGATAATGTTCAATTGTAGCTCTCCAACGACCTTTAAAACTTGGAGTATAAACCATTTTAAACTCATTCAATCTTATCATGTTTGCAACCAAAAGTTCCTATATACATAAAATGTAAAAAAGCAATAAAAATCTCACGAAACATAACAAAACAAATGAAATTCTTTGATTCTCCGACTCACATCTTTTTTATACGGACATCCTTTAAAATGTGACATAAGTTTAAACCAAGGTTCGTATGGACGGTGCATGTCCTCACAAAAATCTTCAAACATGCGGTCAACACCTGTTGTGGCCCATTTATTCCCATATAGTTTCTCGATATAAAAATGAATCGGCCATGGTGGATCTAAATCAACTAAAAATTTGGCTGTTCCATTCAAATACGAATGTGTATCGTTAACTGTCACAATTTCTGCTCCACTAACGTCAAGGGTATTAAAACTTTCTTCTGGACTTGCACACTTCTCGTAATTATCATCAACTGTTAATCCAAGCTTTCCAAATGTCGTTGAGAACAGAATGCAAAGGCAGAAAATAATGAAATTATTCTTCATTTTTAAGGATCACTTTTAATTGAATAAGTTAAACGATCCCCAGAAACTAAATGAAATTTTTGTAACTTGCCTATTTATACATATACATATCACTCTAATGCTTTAATTAAACAGTTTATTAAAAAATTGTTAAGTGCTTGAGATCACGGAATTTATTATGTTCTTAGGTGTAACAACATTGAATGATTTTGAAATCAAGTAAATCGAAATTTTACTACAAACATTTTTAAACATTTTAATCTATCTTAAATCTTACACAAAGTCCTTATAATGCATTTTATGACGTTAGTTCGTTCATTATCAATTAAAAGATAAATCATTTAATTTATTAAATAATTATTTACAGTTCTCGTTATTAAATGCATATAAAATCTAATAAAATTTCTGTCGATAATGATTAATTGTCATAAGTAATCACATCTCATTATAATTTTCCGTGTCATCAAATTTTTTAATAACTATTATTAATAAACAAATTAAATTTAGATAAAAGTGCAACCAGTTAGACAGAAAAAAATGATAACATAACAAGGTACAAAAA